GTTATTGGTTGTGCTTGTTTTGTTCACCTTCCACCTCATGAACACAAAGCTAACTACACAAGCAGCTTTGTGTGCCTTTATGAGGTACAGTTCTGAACCTAAAGGATTCCTTTGCTATGATCCTTCGGTCTGTCGTATTCAAATCTCTAGTAATGTAGTTTTCCTTGAGAGTGTATCTTTTTGAACATATTGTAAAATTTCCAACTCCTTCCACTTCCTTGCCACACAATTTTGACTCTATAGGTACCTTAAGCATACCAATGTCACCTCCACAACTTCAGACCTACTTTAGGAAGCAGCAGTCTTCTTCAGTTTTAATGCCCCCTCCGCTCCACCACCAGCTGTTGATCCAGTCACTCCAACTACCTCGGTAAGTGCACCTGATCCTCCACTTGAACCCACTGTACCCACTTTACGCCATTCTTCTAGATCGCCCACCTGATCACGATGGTTTTTTACCAGACCATAGCTCCTTCTCTGTTGTTTTATCTACCACAGACATTCCCAAATCTTACCAACAGGTTGTAGTAGAACAACACTAGAAAGATGCCATGGATTTTGAGACCCTTCTTGAGAATGACACCTAGGACTTGATCAAAGCTCCACCTGAGACATCTCTCATAGAGAGTCAATGGGTCTACTTTGTGAAACTGAAATCTTATGGGAGCCTAGATAGATACAAGGCTAGGTTGGTTACACAAGGCTATAAATAGGAATATGGGATAGATTATGAGGAGACCTTTGCTCCTATAACAAAAATGACAACTGTACGACTTCTGATGGCTATATCTGCAGCCAAACAGTGGACAACCCATTAGATGGACGTATTCCTCCATGGGGAGTTGAAGGAGGCATTCTATATGAAGCCCCCTCTTGGATATTGTACAGACCCGCAGCTTGTTTGTCGTCTGAAGAAGTCACCCAATGGCTTGAAGCAAGCTCCTAGAGCCTGGTTTGAGAAGTTCAGATCTGTTGTCATTGATTTAGGCTTTATCTATAGTTCTTCAGATTATTCTTTATTCATTTTAAGGCGGAAGCAGGGAGTGACGATCTTACTTCTTTATGTCAATGATACTCATTACAAAGGATGATGTAGAAGGAATTGTTGAGCTGCAACAGTTACTCAGTGAATCCTTTAAGATGAAGGACTTGGGGCCTTTAACATATTTCTTGGGGCTTGAAGTGAGTCGAAACTCTCAGAGCTATTTTGTTAACCAACAAAAGCATACAGCTGATCTGGTTAAACTGGAAAATCTCAGTGACTCCAAGATTGTGGATACCCCGCTAGAACTGAATTTGAAACTCAACAAAGATGATAGTTCTCTCCTGGAAGATCCTACTCTTTATCGTCAACTTGTGGGGAGTTGAAACAACCTACCAATGTTTTAAAACGTGGAGGCGTTCCACTACCTAGAGGTGTGAGGCGTAGTTCTGAACGCAAGAGGCGTAAGCCTCCTTAAGGGGAGGAGGATGAAGAGGAAGGGGGGATCTCATTTTTTCTTTACTTTTAATAAAAATCTTTTATATTAAGAAAAATAAAGATGCATAACATTAGTTGAAAGGGGGGCCTTGTTGAAGTGGATAAGGGAGTTGATTGCCACTAGCACGAAGGGGCAGAGGGCAAACCACTTTCTTTCCCATTATCTTTTCTTCCCTTCCCCTTCCTTTTCTTTTCTTTCCTTTTCTCTTTCTTTTTCTTTCCCTTCCCTTTCTTTTCCTTTCCTTTTTTTCTTTTTTCCTTTTTTTCTGTCTTTTTATATAAGATGTGCATGAGGCGTATGCCTCTAGCACGCCTCATGAAAAAAGCACATGAGATGTACGCCTCTTGCACCTGAGGCGTACACCTCAGAGGTGTCAGCACCTCTAGCATACGCCTTAGGGCGTTTTGGGAGCAGCTCGCCTGGAGGCGCACCTTTAGGCATACGCCTCCCATGCCTTTTAAAACACTGCAACCTATTGTATCAAAATCTTCCACTGAAGCTGAATACAGAGTTATGTCTTCCATGTGTAGTGAAATCATATGTCTCTAGGCTCTTCTACTTGAAATACTTAATGAACCATCACCATTTGTTCCTCTTTATGCAAACAATGTCAGTGCAATCAAAATTTCCTCCAATCCTGTCTTCCATGAGAGCACCAAACACATAGAAGTTGATTGCCACTTCATCCGCAACCTCCTTCTTAAGGGTATTATATCTCTTCCTCATGTCTCCTTCAGACTCCAACTGGCAGACCTATTGACAAAAGCAATGACTCGGGTTGGCATCTATTTCTCATGGACAAACTAATGCTTATTCCTAGGGATCAATTTGAGGGGGAGTGTAGAGACAGTGAGAAGATCAAGCCGTAGGGCTATTTTTGTACTTTTACTTCTTTTGTTGTACATCTATCATCTGTACTCTTTCTTTTGTACACTAAGGGCAGATTTGTCCTTTTACTTTTTTAATATAAATATCTCTTTTAGGGTGTTGACAGTCACTAGGTGACACATCCACCAAACTGTTTGTTCTTCTCTCTCTTCTATCTTTGTCTTTTCGACTTGACTCTGACACTCAGGAGGGGAGAGGACTTAGGCAGGGAGAAATAGGGTTTGTTACTGAATTTCTTGACCTGTTAAGTACAGTATTTTTTGGATTGCCAGATTTGGTTTCCTTCTTCCTTGGGTCAGTTCTCGTGTGCTTCTTTTTTCAATGGCCTACAATATGCTAAATAAAGTTGGTGTAGTCCTGTGCCTCCAAAAGTTAGGGCGTTCTAGTGGGAAGCAGATCTTAAGAAGATCAACACTTGTAATGTGCTTCTAAAAAAGAAAGCCTGATTGTTACCATTCCCCTGGTATCTGCTTCCTTTGCTATGCTTGTGGTAATACAGCTATGCACCTATTAATCTCTTGTTGTTTTGTATCATATATCGGGAATTCTTTGCTTCTCTCTTTGGTTGTAGGTGGACACCTTCTATGGTGGTAGTGCTTTTTGAGATGATTGTTCAATGGGTAAAATCAATAGAGCTCTTCAAGGATTTCTCAACAGATGACTTGTTTAGGGGCTGGAATGTAATAGTAGCTTCCTCAACTCATAGACTGGTCGGTCATTCAAGAAACTTGGGCCCCCTTGGTGGATCAAAAAATTAAGTTGAATTTTGATGGGAGTTCATATGGAAACTCAAGACCATTCAGAATAGGTCCATAGGAGGTGTTGTAAGAGGTGGAGAAGGAAAGTATTGGCATTATACTCAGGACCAATAGGGAGGGTGATTCTCTAAGGGCAGAAAATTTGGCACTCCATCAAGGGTTAAGGTTGGCTAAACAGATGGGGCTAAGACAAATTGAAGTGGAAGGTGATTCTAAGCTGGTGATAGAGGGTGACTGCAAATGAATAGTTTAGAAGCTTGGGCTCATAGACAGGTTATTAGGGAAATTTCATGTTTAGCAAGGGAGATTGATATTGTCTATAGATGGGTTATGAGATCAGCAAATGGCATGACAGATATCTTGACTAAAGAAGGGACAAATAGGGGGAACTATTTTGGGCGGCTTTGTAAGTGTTTGTTTCAAATTGTTGGGGAAAACTTTTCTTGAGTTTATCCTTTGTAAATGTTTCTTTCAAATTGTTGAGGAAAACTTGTCTTGTGTTTATCCTTTGTAATTCTCCCTTTATTAATCAATTAAAGTAATTGTCTCCTTCTGAAAAAAAATAGAAGATGGTCGTTGCTTGCTATGGAACCTAAGGAATTGCCCTATGATACATGGATTTTATTAAAAAAAATCAACTACACAACAATTAATAGTGAAAGATGGGTTTTATTCAAAAAGTAGCCATCGCCTAGCCTTGCCTCGACACCTTGAAAACTATGTCTTTAGAGTCTACTGCCTTACTTTGATAATCAAGAAATACAAAGATAGCTTAACCAAAGGAAAATCCAAATCACCCAGTGACTATTTGCTTGGGTGATTTGGTTTCAATGTGTTCACATGGTCACAACACTTTGATCCTCTAATAAACCACCAACATGCTATTTATCAAATGAAAATTCAAATTATTTAGGTGATGTTTGGTACCGTTTATGTTTATTCAGTAAACGTTTATTGATGGTGCCACATAGGCACCATCTCAGCATTTTCTCTGTTTTGCTCTTCTGCATACATCGAAAATGTAAAAAGTGAACTTTGGTTTATGTGCATGCCAGCCGTTTGTAGAAGTTATTTTTTGAAGCTTCCACAAATGGCCAGGCGTTTATTCACTGTTATGCTGAAGTGGTGCCTAGTGGCGCCCAGTTGTCATAAACGGTTGCAATTATTGCATTTCTCAGTTTTACCAGCAAATAAAGTACAAACGTTTATTCAATAAACATAAACAGTACCAAACACATACTTAGTGAGTGCATCCTGTTGTTGCTACCCAATGTTTTAAAGGTGTGGGAAGTGTATATTCCTAGACCTGGAGGTGTACCTCTAGGTGTCCCCTAAATGCCCTGAGGTGTATGCCATAGGCACTGATGCCTTTGAGGCATACGCCTCAGGTCCATGAGGTGTGCTAGAGACATACACCTCATGTGTCTCATGCATCTTAGATAATACAAGACATCTTTAATAACAAAGAAACAAAAAAAAGAAATCCTTCTCCCCTCCTCTTCTTCCTCCTCATCCCCCTCCTCTTTAGGAGGCTTACACCTCTAATTTTCTGAACTACACCTCACACCTCCAGGCAGTGAAATGCTTCACATCATGCCTCCACGTTTTAAAACATTGTTTCTTACACAACCCGTCGCATATGCCCCTTGTCAGCCTAAGGCTTTACCATTACATATTATCTCTAAATATTTAATATTCTTGTTTTAATTGCTGTAAAAATACTAATCTCAAGAAAGTCTTATGCCAATCATTTGTCTTATCTTGCGTGGTACAAAGTTACTTGTTTGGCAAAGGTATCCTGTATTTTCCCTTTTTATTTTACAAATTATACAGGGTTGCTATCATTACTAATCATAAAACATGCCTTACTCAGGATGATGATGAGGCTGATACAGTTGGCTGCTGTACACTGAAGGTGGAAAATGTTGAGTTAGTCCCTCCAAACAAGTTACAAGTGAGGATTGATCTATTCCTGATCTTTCCCTTATTGATTCCTGGTATTTATTCAATTTAGTACTGGAAATGATGTTTGGTGGTGCTTTTGTTGTTTTCTTTTCCTTTTGTCATCATCCAGTTTGACTTCCTTGGTAAAGATTCCATTAGATATTTCAACACTGTTGAAGTTGAACTTGCTGTGTATAAAGCAATTGGACAATTTAAGAATGGTAAGTGGCTATTTCTACTGGACCTTCTTATCTAGTTGGTGATATATATATATATATATATATATATATATATTCTGATCAAGAACAAACAAATGTTATTAATTGCTAATATAAAAAAAATGCTGTATGAATAGGAATTTGCCAGCACACTCCTAATTCTGGGCTAGTTACAGCTACCCACCCTTTCCAATTTTTTTCCATTCTTTCAATTTTACAGGACTACTATTGGGTGGTCTTGGTGTCCAGTTTTAGCTGACTCCCAACTCCCTAGCCATCTCTTTTCTCTAATTGCATGTCTATAATTCCAGGGTTCCATGTTATGATTAATGTTCCTTGTTATCTTTTACAGGAAAAGAAGATGGGGAGGATCTTTTTGACAGCTTGGATACCAGTAAACTGAATGCTCATTTGAAGGAACTCATGCCTGGTCTTACAGCTAAAGTTTTTCGTACATACAATGCATCAATCACTTTGGATGAGATGGTAAGAGAAATAAATATTCCTGATTCAGAACCCTGAAAATAGTTTTATCATATAATGTTTATATATTCCTTATTACATAGAACTTAAGTCATTTCATTTATTTGGAAGTAATTAGTTATGGTTAAATTAACCATGGCTAAAAGTATCTATAATCAAAATGTCAATAATAAAAAGGAAGTGACTGTTCATAATGATAATAACACAACAATTAGCTTAAAGATATAAATGGATTCTTTCTTTCAGGAACTCATTTTTAACCATTGTTTTGTGGTTGTCCCTTGTCTCTTTGTTTTGAGGATGATATTATCTCTTTTATCTTCTCCTTTTTCCTTCTATGAGAATCTCTTTGTATTATTGATCAAATACTAGCAACAAGCACATCTAATGCATGAAAATAATGAAAGAAGAAAAATAATAAATAATTAGTTACAGTTACAGTTAGACAAATGAATGATTAGTTTTTCTTTTTTTAATCAGCAACACGGGAAAGATTTCATTGATTAGAAGAAAAAATGGTTACAACAAGAAGTTGTCAAACCCAGCTTTAAAAGGCTGAACCAAAGCCAAATTACAATTGAGCCCAAAACAGATATGTTCTTTGTACCCCTTACTTAGCTAAGCTATCTGTGAAGCTGTTGGCAGTTCTCCTCACCCATCTCACTCATATTGACATGTCCTTGGAGAGCCATTTAAATTTTCTGAATTCATTTATCAACTTCCATGTCACCCCTTCACCCTTCTGCAGCCATTTTATCACAGTTTTCGAGTTTCCCTCAATAATCAGTCTGCTAATACCCAGTTCTTTTGCTTTTTCAACCCCATATACTGCAGCCAGAAATTCTGACCTTGCTACATCACCCTGTCCCACTGGACCGGAGTATAGAGCAATGATGTTTCCATCTATTATCTCTAATGACCCCCCCCCCCCAAAGCCTGAGGACCACACAACTCCCATCAAAGTTCAGCTTCTTCCAGCCATCTATTGGGTGAGACCAAGTCTCAACAGATTTCTGCCTTGTAGATGAAGAGGCGGCAATAACACCTCAAGCCCTAATGAAATCTTCAACCTTAAAAATCTGAGAACAACTTCATGCTTTTTGCCCGGTGTACCACTCTCAAAGTTATTGTTTCAATCAATGCTTCCTTGCTTTTTTCTCTTCCTTCAAATATTCTTGCATTTATTTCCTCCCAAACAGTCCACAATAGTGCTGCTCTAGTACACACCTTCACAGGACCCTACCCCTCCTTTTAGTGCAACTAATGCCGGTAGGGCTAAATAAGCCATCCAACCTTTCAAGAGAAGACCACATGCAACCAAAGAGGAAAGCAAACCAATTCCAAATAAAGCTAACAAAAGAGCAGGAGATTAGAAGATGAAATGCAGTCTCACCATTCAACTTACATTGGACACACCAATTAGGGGACAAACACCAATTTGGTCTTTTTCTTTGAACTAGATCATAGGAATTAATACAACCATGAAACACTTCCCAACAGAAAGCACTCACTTTAAGGGGAATGGAAGAGTACCAAATTTCCTTGATTGGGAAAGGAGAAGAGGAGGTAGCTACCAAAGAGTGTAAGAAGGATTTACAAGAAAACACCCATCGGAATTAGGGCCCTAAACCCTAGAATTCAATCCACCTTCTCCCAAGAACACTGAATTCAGCAAGTTCAACAATTCAGACACACTAGCAAGTTTAAACTCTCTAAGGTACCTGTTAAAGCCAAAGTTCCAATTCAGCCCTGAGGGATGAGAGTGCTGACTTAAGAATTCAGAAATAGGCCTACCCTTGAACCTTGAAATATCATAAGAGATTTGAGTCTTGGGCACCCTCCAATGACCTCCAAGAATCAGGCGACACAAGCTGAAGCTTCCAGCCCTAGAACACTCTCATGTAGTCGGCTGGACTACACGCACATGAGAGCCCAAGCCAAGTTCAGGCCTGCTCTGATACCAAGAAGAAAAACAGTCCTAGAGAGTGTGGGACTGTTTAGAATAGATGCAGAAATCAAAAGAAATCGAAAAGAACAGCAAAAAATACTTCTTCTATGGAGTAGAAGGTGAAGAAGGAGATAGTGGCAATAAGGGTTTAGAGTATGAGAGTTTCGAACCTTACTCTCCCTTTAACACCCTAACACTATTTTATTAAGTTAAATTTGAATAATTACAAGGAGGCCCTTAGTTGGGCAAGAAATTACAAAGAACATAACATAGAAAGGATGGGCCCAGAATAAGGCCCATTACAGAAAGGAACATAAACAGTAAGAAAGGATAAACAGCCTATGGGCCATTTGGCCCATCTTCTCTACAGAAACTAAGCGGTTTCTATCTCAGTTTTTTGACTCTCTTGGATTGATTATAGCCTATTTCACTCGTTTTTGGATCAAGTTTTACTTCAGTTTAGTTCCTTTAAATTTCAGCCGAACCCTATTTTGTGTTGCTTTCTTGCTATAATGGCTTCAGACAAAGGTGATATCATTCCTGTGAAGATGAATGGACAGAACTATGGGAGATTCTTAAGGTTTGATGACAAAAATAGAGCATGGGAGAAGCTCAATCTAGCAAGGATACTAGTCGAAGTGAAAGATGCCACAACAATTCCAAATAAGTTAATTATTTGAATTTGTAGGGGAGTGGTATGAGCTGAGAATAATAGTGGCAGGAGTGGATATAACATTTTCAAAGGAGGAAGAGGATACAAAGGTGAGTAGCAGAGTGGATTCGAAATTGTTGCGGAAAAACCCAAGAAAACAGATTCGAATGGCACCCAAATTAAAAGTAAAAGTAGAGATAAAGAGAAACAAGCACAAAAGCACATAGAATTATGTGGTTCGGCTTATAGCCTACGTCCACGGGCGAAGGAGGAATAGAAATCCACTATGAAGTTGTCAATGAAGAAAAAATACAGAGTTGTGCCCTCACAGAAAAACCCTAAGCCCCAAATACACCCAATGTCTCACTCGTCTCTTACAAGACAAAGACTCTATTTACAAGAGAGAAAACCCCCGAAATAGATAACTCTTTGTATTTGGTTCAGACCTATAAGATGAATATGGAGCGATATTCATCTCCACAAACCACTATGAAATTTTGCCTTAGGGTTTTTCTCAAATTAATCCGGAGTGGATTCATGAAGCGGGTTGCCACAAAGAATTCAAGGCACAAACATAACAGAAATGACTTGTGTGATCTTTCCTGAGAGAGAGAGATGAGAGAGAGAGAGAGAGAGAGAGAGAGAAGAGAAGAGAGAGGTTTGATTGAGAACCAAAAGACACGGGCTGGTCGTCTACCAACTTGTTATTTATATTCTCTTAAAAATAATAAAGATCAATAATTACAAGAATGCCCCCGGCGGCAATTCACAATAGTGAACAAATAACAAAAAAAAACAAAAAGAAAACTAGCTGACAGCACCTAGGTTGACTAGGCTGACAACATACTAACAGCAAACCAATAAATAAGTTTCACAACACTCCCCCTCAAGTTGGGTTGTATATGTCTATCATGCCCAACTTGTCACACAACTCATTGTGCCGTGAGTATGGAAGTCCTTTTGTGAGGACATCAACAAGTTGTTCCTTGGAGTTGACATAAGGGATGCAAATTTCCCTTTTTTCTAATTTTTCCCTTATGAAGTGTTTGTCCACTTCAATGTGCTTGGTCCTCTCATGTAGGACAGGATTGTTGGCGATGTTAATGGCTGCCTTGTTGTCACAGTAAAGAGACATAGGATTATAAACAGCAACTACAAGCTCCCCTAGAAGAGTTTTTAGCCAAAGAACTTCAGCCACCCCATGTGCCATAGCTCTATACTCCGCTTCAGCACTTGAGCTTGCTACCACACTTTGTTTCTTGCTTTTCCAGGTCACTAGGTTTCCTCCCACAAATGTGCAATACCCACTTGTGGACTTTCTGTCATCCACAGCACCTGCCCAATCAGCATCTTGATATGACCCAGAAATTTGACATGCAGTTCACAGACACACAGCAGAAACCAAACCACTAGTACATCAACAGGGAATTGATATTCATTCAGAAGAAAAGAAGATCACTTACAGTATGTCGGTTCTTTGAGAGACGCCGGCTCTCCCAAGCACTCTCAGAATTCTGTACTCAACAAAAGTCTGACTCCTCCATCCCCCAAAGCCCCTTCTTATACACATCTTACAGCATAACTGCCTTCCATAATAAATGCCCCACACTCTTGTTATTCCCAACTGACAAGCTATAAATGCTACTCTTCTTATTCCCAACTGACAGTTTATAAATGCTACAAAACTCTCCTTATTCCCTCCAGCCACAAGTTCCCCCATGTTCAATTATTTCCCCCCTTGACCGAAAGCTGACCTTTCCCCTTCCTGGCATATGTAAAATTAATTGGGGGCCTATCTTTACCCGCCGCCCAAAGTCTAACCTTGTCCTCAAGGTTGAAATGAGGAAATTGGTCGCGAAGTAAGTCAAAAGGCTCCCATGAATCTTCAAAATCAGGCAGGTCCTGCCAATGGATAAGCACTTCCGAACCAGTAACTCCAAGCATAGTGGATGGACGCACCCCTCGAATGGCCGCAGGTACCACTAGCATTTCCATATCAGCTAACAGAGTGGAAGGAATCACAAGAGAAGAGATATGATTGCCAATTGCCTTCTTGAGTTGCGAGACATGAAAAACAGGATGAATCCTTGCCTCTAGAGGAAGTTGAAGTTTATAAGCGACAGTGCCAATTCTTTCCACAATAGCAAATGGTCCATAAAATTGAGGGGCAAGCTTTTCATTGGCTCAGCAAGCTAGAGACTACTGGCGATAAGGTCGCACTCGCACATATACCGAATCTCCAACCTCAAAATTAACATCACAGCGGTTCACATCAGCCGAGTCTTTCATCTTTTTGTGTGCACGGTGTAGATGAGAATGCAGCTCCCTAAGTATAGCATTTCGCTAAAGGAGAACAGCTTCAACATCAGCATTAGCCGTAGAGCAAGCTCATAGCGGATTAAT